ATTTCTACCTGATCCACAGTAGTGAATGATGTCTAATGCTAAAAAATGTTCCCACCTTGCAAAAAAGTTATAGAAATAATGGGTTTTATGCTTGATAAAATCATCCATGTAACTTATAACCATCTAAGATGAATATGTTTTACCACTTTCACTTTAAATTATTTTTCCCTTATTCTTCAACAATTTCTATATAACTGGAAGCCCTGTCTTGTTGATTATACTTGAAAGCAGTAAACGGTACAATAGAAATCCAATTTTCTGAATATAAAGTTTCTCTTGGTTGATCTATAATGTCAGTAGATTTCTCATGAAAGACCCTTTACAAAACCTTAAATCTTGAGTTCAAAATCCTCACTTACATCTTGACAATTGCTTTCAGACCCATCAACACAAGAATAAACACATTTCTTCTCTTTCAAGCTATAGAATCATATTCTCTTTATATCTGTTAACATACTTTTTCAAAAGAAAAGAACTTTGTTTCCAAAGAAACCTCTTTTTTATTTAATTCTATTGGGACAGTAAGAACAAAAAGACTTCCAATTTAATGGTATTTCTTAATTCCATGAGAATGAGGAAGAGAAATAGAGGAACTGACATGGGAATGCACAATATTAAAAAAAAAGAAGAAGAAAGAAAACTTCGTGGGTGAAGTTAAGGGGCTTTTATAGTGCATTGTGAGTGTGTTCAGTTCCTCAGTCACTTCCGAAGCTTTGTGACCCCGTGGACTGTAGCCCGCCAGGCCCCTCTGTCCATGGGATTCTCCAGGCAAGAACACTGGAGTGGGTTGCTGTGTCCTCCTCCAAGCGATCTTCCTGATCCAGGGGTCAAACCCATGTCTCTGACGTCTCCTGCATTGGCAGGCAGATTCTTTACCACTGGAAGCTTCATACCCTGGCTCTATTTCACAGCTCCTGCAGAAGTTTTAGAACCATTACCTGGTCATTTAGGATGACTCACTGTTCCATTTTAGATGCCATTAAGGGTAACATTTCAGGCATTTTATTGTCAGTCATTGTCAATTCATTGACAGTTATCACAATCATGTTAATTCAGTTGGGGTTGCAATGAGATAAAATATCTTTTCCTAATAGCTATTATTACTATCCATGGTCAGAGAGATTACTAATTTATCCCCAAGTGATCAATTGGTTACATATATATGGATAAACTTGTATGTAATAAATGTAATAAAATATTTAGCTTAATGTGGCCATGAGTCCTTTTTAAGGAGCAGAGTGGGATAGAGGGTTGAGTAGAGAGAAAACGCAGAAACCTGGGATTTTAGGCATCTGATTCTATTTGATTAGTAAGACAAGATGAGACCTAGGAATCTTTTAACTTGAGGAAAACTACTACAGCCTCACTCTCCTTTCATGTACAACGACACATACTCACATACTTCTTCCCACCATTCCTTGATGATCCCAAGAAAAACACATACACAATGATAAAATCCATCTGGAAGACGGTTTCTTTGCACGATCAGGCTTTGTTCCCACATTGCTAACTAGAACTTTACCCCTGTGAGCTGGAGTGGACCTTATAAAAGAAGTCCTTTATCCAAGAGGAGGGAATCTAGCAGGCCTTTCCCCTCTCCTTCACATAAGAAACATCTACTCATCCCTTGGGTCTTCACCTGTGTCTAGGAGCCTTCCCTACTTTCTAGACTGGGCTGAACGCCCATTTTGATTTGCTGTTTAAATGCCAGATCCTTCTTATGAAATCTCAGGATACTTGCAGTATTTGTCCAGTATCTTCTTATTTACTGTGTTACCAGCTCAAAGGGCCTGAGTACTCTGTGTTGTTTACTTCTGTATCTCCAATTCCAAAAATAATTACTGGTATGTAATGCGTTCTCAATAAATATTTGATGAATGCAGATGAAGCAAACTAATATATATGTAAAGTACACTCAGTTTAATTACTGGTATATAGAGATATCCAATACATGTTAATTACTAGTATATGAACAGAGATCTGTACCGTACCGAACCCTCGACACGTTGAACATCATTAGTAAGCTTTCTGAAACAATGTCCACTGCCCATAATATTCAGAATGATGTCTCTGAGGGCTCCCAGTTCTCTTCTGTAAAATGAAGCTGGGTCAGTCAGTAGGGATCGATTACCTCTGGCTTCCTAAATAGACAAAGCAACTTTTCACTTGGATAAGACCAGAAAAAAAGGACCCCCACTACTAACTACAGGACACTCTATCTGATCTCCCTCTCCAACTTCCCATGGTTCTCGGAGGCTCCACTCTTGAGCATCTCATTACTACAGCTTTTAGGCTAAATTATAGCATTCTATTTTTGGCTGTTTTTCAAAAGATATGGTATGGCCTGCAGTGTGTCTAAATGCTGTAATGATGAGCCATCATGCAATCAAATTCCATAGTTATATTTAACTTGGTTCTCTGAGTTAAAGGTCAAGCCATCCCTATTCACTGCATTTGTGTTTACTTTCAAACCAAACAAGAATGTAGTCTGAGCTGGACCACGAATTGTGAGGCTGCCCTGAGGTGGTTTCAGACCTCAACCCCCATTTTGTTGCTAGAGGGGATGAAACTGACCACATTTTATTCTAAAAAACTTCCTAGAGATTTCATAGGGAATAACTGTGAAACCAGTATAAGTGATACCTTATATTCTGGGATTTTTTAATAGAGAATTTAATTTGGTTCCAACTTACCCTAAGAGTCACCTTTGTGCCTAACGAGTTTATACCAGCACTTTATTTTTTTTAGGAAATGGTGTGGGGGAGACTCTGAAGTTTTTGAGCAGGTGGCAAGATCATCGATTAAGGTCTGAGAAGGTTTATCCAGCAGCAGTGTGAAAAGACAGGTTGAGGGAACGGAAAAAGATAGAAAGAAGGGTTAGGAGGGTATGGCAGTGCTCCAGTGGGGGAGTTCCCAGGGCCAGAACCGGAAGAGATGGTGAGGAGGGAGCCCTAGGACCAGATGAGTGAAGGGGAGGGTGTGGGGAGGACACAGATTCAAGAGCTACCTCAAAAAGAAAATAATAAGATGACTTTGTAACATGAAGAATGCAAAGGATGAGAAAGAGATCTTGACTCTGAGCAGCTAGGAACCTGGTTGTATCAACATGGGGTAAATAAGAAAAAGATAAAATTTGAGGAGGAAGCTTGTCTTTGGGACAAACTGGATCTGAAGGGATGGCAAGACACAGGCTCCTGGAAATGTGAGCTGAAGTTCAGGAACAGTGTGACGACTGCCTCACAGGTGCATTGACCATGGTGTCATTCTTTTGGATAGCCTAGTTCCTTTCCGGAGAAGGCAATGACACCCCACTCCAGTACTCTTGCCTGGAAAAACCCCATGGACGGAGGAGCCTGGTAGGCTGCGGTCCATGGGGTCACTAAGAGTTGCACACGACTGAGCGACTTCACTTTCACTTTCCACTTTCATGCATTGGAGAAGGAAATAGCAACCCACTCCAGTGTTCTTGCCTGGAGAATCCCAGGGACGGGGGAGCCTGGTGGGCTACAGTCCGTGGGGTCGCGAAGAGTCAGACACGACTGAGCGACTTCACTTTCACTTTCCACTTTCACGCATTGGAGAAGGCAACGGCAACCCACTCCAGTGTTCTTGCCTGGAGAATCCCAGGGACGGGGGAGCCTGGTGGGCTGCCGTCTCTGGGGTCGCGCAGAGTCGGACACGACTGAAGCGACTCAGCAGCAGGAGCAGCGGTTCCTTTCATCCTTCCATAAATGGTACACACTTTTTAAGGTCATAGTCAATCTTCTCTTCAGAAAGGAGACTATTACAAATAAGAGCCTCTAATTTTGTGCTGAAGTAGTCTCAGGCATCACCATTTACCATTCACCACCTTTGACCTTCTATAATGTGTGCTAAGTCACTTCAGACTGACTCTTTGCAATCCTATGGCCTATAGCCCAGCAGGCTCCTCTGTCTGTGGGACTCTCCAGGCAAGAACACCGGAGTGAGTTTCCATTTCCTTCCCCAGGGGATCTTCCCGAGTCAGACATCAAGCCCATGTCTCTTGTGTCACTTACATCGCTTACCACTCGCATCACCTGGGAAGCCCACCTTCTCTAATAAATGCTTTATTTGGCTTTTCTATTTAAATCATGGAATTTTTAGCCATTTTAGAAAGTAAATAATAAGTTCTTAGAGTTAAGAAAACTGGGACCAAGAAAGTGGGGGGGAGTTGGTCAGGTTTACACAGCCAGTCATCAGCGGCCTGGTCCCTGGCACTCTGCCCTCCCCGCCAGAGCGGGTTTCCAGACTGTGCAACGTGGGGGATGCCAGATAACTCAGTCTCCTGTCCTGTCCCCGCAGTACGGCTTGTACTGCGCCTTCAGAACTGTTCTTTAAAAGCGTCTGTATTCCTTTGGTCTCTTAATTCCTCCTAAAGTTCTGAACATTAAAAAAAAAAATTGCTTTCCCTCCCTACTTTCTTGAGAATCTAAATATAGTCACTGTCCCTTCTACTGACAGCGTTCTCGATTTTTGTAACCGGTCTATAGTTTCTACTCATAGACACTGTACCCAGTCCCTTCTTCCCTGCCAAGTGTTTTTTTTTTTTTTTTTTTTTTTTCACGGCAGTAGTTTTAAGCATAGCATGGACTGCTAGCTGAAAGGGGTTGTTGTGTAAAAATTTATCTCCTGTCCACCTTCATGGGGTCCTTTAACTCTGGTGATATGAACTGATCTTTTATCTTTCATGCTACCCAGCCATCACCAGCCTCTTCTGTGGAGGACAATGAGTTGCTTTCTTAGGACTGATGAGGAATCAGTGCAAGTTGGGAGAAGAGATATTAATAGTACGCAAATGAGATCCTGTCTTGCATTAAGAGCTATAAACATCTTTCCAAGCTGTAATAATCAAGGCTCATCCCGTTGGCGATCCCCAGTAGAGTACAGTCCAGTAGAGTATGGTGGCCTACAAAACTACTTCACCCTAACGTTGTAGAAGTTAATGCTCTTTCTGGCTTGTTCCTTTTCCCACTGGATAGATGCCTTGAACCTCCGGAACCGACAGGTCATCTGCGTCACTCTTAAAGTCCTACAGCATCTGGTCGTGTCAGCTGAGATGGTGGGTGAAGCGTTGGTGCCCTACTACCGTCAACTCCTTCCCATCCTGAACATCTTTAAGAATAAGAATGGTGAGTTACCCCAGGAATCAAAATGTCTTTTAAGCACTAAAAAAGGGGGAGTGCTTTGAAGGAGAGTTAATTAGCAACACATTTAGGATTTATTATTGCATATAAACCAGGATCCACTTAGAGATCTAAACAGCATAAACCCTACCCCCTCTCCTCCTACTCCCTAGAGAAATAGTCAAATTAACAATTTCATTTATTACTCTTCACACGTACAGCTTACTTACTCAGCACAGAAGCACTGAAGCAGTTCTGTAATCTTACAATAATAAAATTGCAAAGTTTTTAAGTGTCTTTTGAATATATTGGTAGGTTTTTTTTTTTTTAACTCTTTTATCATTCTTTATTTCAATCTGAGGACAATAATAGTCACTTCAGCCAGTAGGTTTTGAGTTTGTTCTTTCTCTTGACAGTAATTCTGCCTTTGGGTATTTCCTCTTAAAATTAAAGTTAGTTTTTATTAATTGAGTTAGGATGAATTTTAAAAGCAGCATTATTAAAATCTGGTACAGGTGGTTTGGGGAGTTTTAATATATGTTCTCCTATTTCCTAAAAAAAAATAGAAAGGCAGATAATCTGTAGTTACGTAGCTGATGGTAAGTACCGATTTAAAAAATATATATGCTGATGCATTTATTAAAAAAATATTATTCTGTACACTTTGGAAAGCACTGGTGCACTCAAGTGAATCTGCTTCAACCAAACAAAGGCATGAGCAAGTTGTGCTGACCACCTGGGAGGCAGTGAACGTACGTCTGTTTTTGACAATGTGATCTTCCTTTTGTCCCTGTTGAAATGATGTGAATCTAATTTTCTTTCATGTTGCTAGCTCTGAAGTCTCATACTTCTCACAGGCACAGCGTAAGTCGACATTTGAAGTTAATTTCTGACAGCCATGTAAATAAGTTAGTGATTTAGTGGAACAGTGCGTGAAAAACTTTGCAACATAATCTGCTTATTGTATAGAAAGTAAAAAAAAAAAAAAAATCAAACCAGAAACTGCACATATGACAGCTTCCATCACAAACAGGTCCTTTGTTTGGAATCATTTTTCATATAATTCCTGAATTACTGTTAAAAGTTTCTTTAAATCAGGCACACTATTCAGGGAATCATGGGATCATCAGAGGCTCTAGCTATCTTTCAGTAGCAGGACCTAATTATATGTTTAATATTAAGCATGTTTAGTAAAAACGACTTCAGCTAGGGTTGTCGGAGCTTAAGAATACTCATAAGGGGATGAATTGATACACATTGCAAAATATCTAAGAACTATAGAGTTAATGTGGACATTTAGATGAGATGGTTACTCTTTCAGGAAAGTAAAAATTGGGTGTTAGTAACTCAACCTTTTATGGTCTAAACTGAAAGTTTTAGTTACAGCATTTCTCCTTTGTGAAAAGTCCTTGCTTAAGTATTCTGGATTCATAATTCATACTTTTATTGTCTAATAGCATCAAATAAGAGGTAGAGATAAATCAGAAACTCGAGAGATAAAGACAGAGATGAAAGAATCAGGGAACACCCACTGCCAGAAATCTCAGTTATAGTTAACACTTCTGAGTTGTGTGGTTCGCAAATGTTTCCTCAGTAACCCTCCCAGAAACCTGTGATATATGGACCATTACTGTTTCCAGTTTTTCACTGTAACTCTTCTCCTATGTAAGCATTTCCTCTGTACTTGGCAGTCATGAAAGGTGAGCACCAGCGTCTTTTCCACCTTGCTGGAGTAGGAGTAGGGGCCGCCCCCACATGGGTTAATGTCCTCCTGGTCCTTGGGTCTGGAGCTGAAATCTAAGCATCATTTGTGTCTTTGTATAAAAGAAGAAAAACAGTGATATTAAAAAGGTGATTAGAATCTCGCTCGTTCTCAAGGAACCCTGTCAAGGGTAAGTACAGCTGCCACTAAGATAAATCTCCTGGGAGCCCTAGACTGTTAAAAACAGTTGGCTCTCATGTCTGCCTCGTTATATTGATACTATCAATACTTATTTAATTCTTCAACTTATAAATGTTCATATGCTTCACAAAAGAAGTGACTGGGTTTAGGAATATATCCCTATTTCGATTTTATCAAAATGGAGATTTTTATCGTTTATATCATGGCCTTAATTGGTCCTACACATAGCTGATTATTTTGGAACATTTCTAAATGCATGCACCAGGAATTTGACATTCAGCTATTTTTCTGGTTAATATCTTTCTGACATTTGAGGAGGAAAAATATTAGTTTCAGCTTCATTTTTGACTTATCTTAGAAACCTGTCAGTACAATGCCAGAATGCAGTTTGCTGTATTTCCAGAGGGTCCTATTACCAAATGAGAGCATTCTAGCTCTAAAACGCCAAACTATTCTTCAGAGTGGCTGTTTCCACAGCTCCAATCCTGCCAGTAGAAGCTCATCACAGGATTCCCAATTACAATAGTATTTTCAGCATAAAAACAATTTAGCTTTGATAGCATTTTAATAAATCTTGCTTCACGATTATATTTTATTCATATCCACAGAACCACATATACATTTTTATTTAAGCAGATGTCTTTAGTGACAGATATATTTACCTAAAAATAGATTAGAAATTTGCCGCATTAGGATTAGGAAAAAAATTTCATTCTTAATTTCAGTGTTTCTGAGAGCAATTTCATTTTCTGTTTCCTTTTTCTCTACTTGCACATAATCGATGTCTTGATCAATTCATATTCAAAGATATATTTCTTCCCAGTTCTATAGCAAAATGTTTTTAAGGCTGAGACCCAGTATAAATGACTGAAAGAAAGCGTGAAAGAGGGGCTATTCCTTCAAATAAAGTGACCTTGTCCTTCTGCTAACATTCTTTCAAAGCACAAGCTTTAGAATCATTCTACTGCCTGCTCTCTTTTTTTGCAATTTCTGTCCTGTTTTCATGTCAGCTGGACCTTGTCTGAAATGATCAGAAGGGCCGAGCAGTTTGCCAGTGCCCTATCGGGTCAGCAGTGTCCCCGGGAGACCAGTGGGAATAAGACAGAATACGGAGGAGCAGGTGACACTGTTAGCACCAGCCTGGGTCCCCATCCCCACTTCTACAGGCATGGAAATTTACCCCAGCCCCACAAGATCAGTCCTGCTCTAGGACACAGGGTGGCTGGAATTTCTGTTTATGAATATCACACTTTCAAGTCTTTGTAATTAGCCTGTGCTTAAAAAAAAAAAGCAACAGACAAGTGGGTGAACTGCAAAGTGGGATAAAGAGTAACAGAAGAGCAGAAGAAGAGCAGTAACAGGGAGCAGAAGAGATGTGACCTTAGGCAGATCACGTAGACTTCTCTGAACTTAAACTTCTTCATCTGCACACAATACTTACGATAATGTCTTTTCTGTGAGGTCGGCATGACAAATTGAGATGGTGGCCGCCCCTTCATGTGGGGCCTGGCCTTGACTGAGTTTTAAACCAGAGAGTCTTTATCATCTTACAACATTATGTATGTGCGCTCGGTCACTCAGTCTTTTCCGACTCTCTGCGACCTCGTGGACGGTAGCCCGCCAGGCTCCTCTGTCCATGGGATTTTTCAGGCAAGAATACTGGAGTGGGTTGCCACTTCCTACCCCAGGGGATCCTCCCGACCCAAAGATCAAACCCACGTCTGTTTTGTCTCCTCCGTGGGCAGGCACATTCATCAGTAGTGCTACCTGGAAAGCCCCAGACAGCATTATATACACATACAATGTTACACACATATATGATATTGTAAACCAATATAGTGATACTATATAAATCAGTATAATGCACAGAAGTAGGTGATTTAATGTATTATATCCCTTGATGGTAGCTCATCCCCTGGTCCTTCTGTGGGCCTGTGAGTGAGACATGACCTCCCGGTTTGCCCAGCTCAGCAGCACCTTTATTTCAAAGGACTCATCCTGCCTCTGACTGCCAACACCAGGTGGGAGCCAAATAAATTAAGGACTCTGTGACTCACTCAGGGATGACTGGTTCTCTAATCCGTCCCTTTCTGGCTCACTCGAATATGTGACGGATGTTTGGGGTTAGGTCCTTATTTTTAAAAGAGAAGCCAAGTGTGACAAGTCAGGGGTGACTGGATCAGGGTCCTCTTTGGAAGATCCAAACTAGCATCTAAGCTTGAACTTGTTTTCTTTAATTCTGAGTAATGAATCGTGGACATCTAAGATAGGCTGTCTTTCCAGTGACTGCTGTGGACCGAAAGAAAGAGAAGCGCTTCTATGACAACAATCTCTTCTTTCCTTTGTTCTTTCACAAACATTATTAAACGTTTCAGAAAATGAAGATGGTGGGAATGCTCAATTTATAGCTTTCAGAGATGAAGCTACAAAATTAACGATGCAGTGTATTGCATTTGAGAAACATGAGCCAATAAACGGCATTAAAACATTTACAGTTAAAATACGGCGCTCTGCCTGCAGAGTAGGGTTTTCCAACCGCCCTGCTTTTCGGAGGCAATCCTTACGTGGGTACTTTTTTTCCTAATTGCACCAGTAGTCCTGAAATAGCTTCTAATGGAAATAGTTTGGAGAGTCCATGTATCAACAGCTCTAATAATATATTAATCTTATGTCACAGAATATGCAGAAGTAAATGAAATAATGAGATAACATGCTCCCATGTATGTGAACATCAAACAGTTTTAGATTTACCTATGCATACTTTCTAAAATGTATGTTGTAGCCTATAGAAGTCCATGAAGAGATTTAAACTTTTTAACTCAAATTCAGACACATTAAATAACATAGGAAATAAGAAAGCATTAAATTGAATTTTGGGGATCTTGAAAAGTTTGTACCAGATCTTTCACCCCGATATTTAACTAGTTTCTGAAAAATAGAAACAACTGTTTTCCACTAATAGTCTATTTAAACAGCTGTTAATGAGAACCTAAGAATTCCCAGTCAACCTGTTTCAGATACTCTTCATGTATTTCTGTGAGTTCTATGGGACCTATTTTTATGGCCCTTTAAAATGCTGATAAACTTTTGAGAGCTGATTGTT